ATAACATTTACTAAATATTATTTTTTTGGATTTTGGATAAATATATTATTTTGCAATTTATAAATAAATACAAAAAAAAATTCACTTTATAGTAAATTAATTTAATGATTAATACAATATATTCATGTATGAAACACATTATTTTTATTATTAAAGCAATTAGTTTAATAGATTAATTTATTAATTTAAATAAATCACATTATATCAATATTTTTCAATTACTACTTATTTTTACATAGTAATATTTTAATTAACCTTAAATAAGTTTCATTATTTTTTATTTTTAATTAAATGTTTAATTAAGACTTTACTAAATTAATTGATGTATCACTATTATATTACTCTAATTTCACTTTAAATTTAAATCCTAGTTGAAAATTATATCAAAATTAAAGGTTAAATTTATACTACAATAAAAATTATCCAAGTAAATTTTTTTTTACTATGATTATAACTTATTTAATTAAATTTATAATGTCATGATTATAGTACTGTATAATTAAAATGATGTCATACTACTAACTTTTTAATTTAAAATTTTATTGTAACTAAAAATTACTGGATTCAAAAAATTTTATTAACTTCTAACAAAATACTTTTATTTTAATTCATACAGTATACTTAACAATATTACAATTATATAAATTGAAAATTATACTAATTAAATGGGATAAATTTATTCAATTAAAAATAATACGAGAAGATTTTTTTGTTTAACTAAATATGTTAGATAATTAAAAAACTACTGAAATTAAAATAGATGTAAATAAAATTGTATTATTTGTGTAATTAATAATTGAATTTGTATAATCAAGAATGATATATTCTACTCAATTTTTTTTAATGATCAAAATGAAAATGTGTCAAAATTAAAATGATAAAGAGTTTTTTTTTTAGTTTAAATTTTAGTTTTTATTAAATTTTTAATTAATAAAGTAAAATAAAATATCGATTCGTTTCAGTCTAAAATAAATTAGACAAAAAAATATTGATATCATCCAACCGAATCAAAAGTGAAATAGTTTAATTTTTAATTAATATCCTATCTTTAAATGTTATTCTATTCAATTGATTTGATTTTAAATATTGGTCTACTCTAAATGATAATTAAAGTTATATAATTTTCAGTTTGGCCTCTATCCTCAAGTATTACTCAATTTGATCTAGTTCGCTTCCATCTAGTATAATTCTCAAATATTTGCTCATTTTATTGGAATTTAAAAAAATAATAAAAATAAAAATTAAAATAATTGTAGAGGATACTAGAAAAAAAAAAGAAAAATTATAATAATATTTTAACAAATTATACTTGAAATACCTTTCTTTCTTATATGTCAATGAGATTATGTTATAATTTAATTATTAAAATATAAAATTTTAATATTTACTAAATATTATCTTTTCAATTATTTACTTAATATATTATTTGTAATTTATAAATAAATATAAAAAAGTTAAATTAAATAACCATAACTTATTTTTTATTTTCCTTCTATATTTTTTTTGGCGCTATTAATGAACATATGCTGTAAACTTTGTAGTTCTTTTGGAACGTCAAGAACCACTTAATTGTAAAGTTAGTTATGAAAACAATAGTGCTCTTGAAATAAAAGGTTCATCGAAGAGTTTCTCAAAACATGAGAAGTAACATATTTCGGAATACAAAATATGAATTTTTGTACAAGTTCTGGTGTTATATGAACATATAAATTTAGCATTTCTCTGCGAATATCTAATATAGACTAATTAATTAAATTATTTCAAATAAATTAAAAATTAATCAAACAAAGTCATGCAAAATATAAATTTTATTTCAAAAATAGACTTATTAAATTTTTCAAAAAATCACTTACTATATATTGATCAAAATCCTTAGAATTAGAATTTATGTATGTATATGCTTGGGGATAATCCTAAAAGTTATATGGAGATGAAGCTCACCATATTTTCCAAGCACTTTGGAACTGTCCATCCCTTGCCATGGATGATAATTCTCCTTTTACAGCACATTACTTTTAAAAGGTCTGGCAAACTTTTATTTCAACCTATATAGACATATTTACATTACCTTAAAAAGGGATATATGGGTAAATACCATATATAAATAAGGATATTTTTGGAATGAAATTAATATGTACATACACATCCATTTTCTACACACACATATATATATATATATGTATGTACGTGGGGCATCGTCTTTTATTTCAATAATTTTGTTTCTCTAATATGGATCGGATCAATCAACAGCCCAAACTGAAGCCCAAAGCATTGGTCCCAATTTTGAAGGCTTCCCATTTTTAAGCAACCAAAAAGATTTGAGCCGCCAGAGAAATGCCGCCGGCCGTCGGGTCTAATTATACCTGGAGTATTCGCTTACAATCACTCGTATTTCAGCCCTGCTTCTTCTTCTTCTTCTTCTGAGATAGCGAGAGAGTGTTTGAGTGTTTGTTTAGGAGGTAAAAGAGGTGTAATTCTCGGGTTCAAGAGGGCCGTGGAGAATGGAATCCAGTAGCTTGGAGCAGATATTGCAGGATGGGAAACTATTCAGGCACCTCAATTCCCTCATCGTTGCTCACCTTCGCGACAACAACCTCACTCAGGCAAGCTATTTCTGTCTACTACTACCTGTGCGTTACTCGTATATTCCCCTTATATATATGCTTAGATATTCATGCAAGAAGAAATGTGGCATTGTTTGAATTGGAAATCAGAAATGCAGACATTTTGGATCAGTTCGGTTACCTTTCTTTGAGTTTCAATTAGAACAAAACAAGAAATTAAAAGGAAAACCTTCTTTAGTTTAATTCATGAGAAGGTGAACGACCGGTCTTTTGACTTGTCACGGATTTTTTTTTCTCTTGCTGTTTTCGTTTGTATAAAGAATTTTACCAACTAGGGTAGCCGTTGAAGTGGGCATATGATACCCATATTGAGTGTTAAGTTTTATGAAATAATAACCGGGGTTTTAACTGAGATTTTTGGGTAGTAGTAAATGTTCCTTCTGTGGGGTATTTTGGTATGCTTTCTTGATCATTGTTTGAACAGTCGGGTTTTCATTACGAGTGTGGTTACCGGCTCAAGTTAAGAGAAACAATTATGAGGGTAATTAAATATTTCACACAAGAGGAATTCGCAAATGAATACACCCGTGAATCGTGAAGTGTAGCTAAGGTAGTCCTTGCCCTTCCCTTTCTTCAGCCAAAAGAAAACAGCTGTCAACTAATAAAGTTGAAATGTCCAAAACTTAAACCAATAGAGAATGAGAATCGGTTGTTTATATATGTAAAATTTTCTTAACCTGCGGATCTGCTAAGCTGAACGCGTATATCAAGTGCTAATATCAATTAACAAAAATGGAACAAACATCCGGATTCAAAATAGTAGACTTTTAGCTCCAATACCATATAAAATAATAGAGTTGAATGAGTTTTTTTAGAAGCTCAAATTCATAGTAGTATATTCACAAGACCAGAACTTATTCTTTTATTTTCCTTCTGTAGTTTCTTGGCGCCTATTGATGTTGCTTCAAATGAACCTTTTAGGCTGCAAATGCTGTTGCTTCTTCCACGATGACACCACTGAATGTTGAAGCCCCTCCAAATAAGCTTCTTGAGCTTGTTGCCAAGGTTCCTATCTACTTCCAGTGACTCACCTATTCTTGTTACTCGCTCACACTCACACACCACATATACACTCCATCAACGTATTTGTGTATATCCACATTTTATTGTATGCAAAATGTATGTTGAAGCATTTATATGTTGAACAAGAGAAAAAAAGAAAAGTTATTGGTTCTGAGGTGAAAACAGGGTCTTGCAGTGGAGAAAGAGGAAACACTGAGAGGGGTTACTTCGTCCACATTGTTAGACTCAGGCATACTGACACCTGCAGCATATGGTTCTATACCAGCTCCTCGTGCAGCTTCTGTTGATTTCAGGCAATTCTTTTATTTTTGCCAATAAGTTGTTTAAATTTTATCGAGTTTGTTTAGTGATTGCTATGTTTGATAGTCGTTAAATCAGTATTCTCTGTTATTTGGGTTGTAAGACATGAAATTATGTGATCTTCTCTTCTTTCTTCAATTGCAAGTTATCAATGCTCTCTTCTTATTATATGTTTGGTGAGTCATGATGCTCAAAACACTTGGCTGCTCAAAGAAGTATTGATTTCATGTGGGTGTGCAGGCCGTTTTTTTGCATAATTACTAGGGTTAATCATATTTTAAAGTTCGCAAAGTTCACATTGTTTGTTATTCATTATCCTCATTAGCCACAGCCCTAGAAGTCATGTATCCAGGCTGTAAATGGTTGTAGTTCCTTGGAAATGAAAGAAACAATTAATCGTAAAAGTTTGTTGTCAAAACAGTGCTGCTCTTGATGTGAAAGGCTCATCAAAAAGTTTCCCGAAGCATGAGACATGGCATCTTTCAGAGCACAAGGTTTGGATTTTGTATAAGTTTTATTGTTATATGAGCAGATGGAATTTGGATCTCTCCTTGCGGGCATCTCATATAGACTAATGGGTTAAATTTCTAGAATATTGCCAGATGTGCTAGATTCAGTCCTGATGGAAGATTTGTTGCCACTGGAAGTGCTGACACATCAATTAAGCTCTTTGAGGTATATACTCCTTGAATTATATAATTATCTTATGCCTTCAACACTGATCGCAGAAAATCCAATATCACCATTTCTTTTGCAGATTTCTAAAATCAAGCAAATGATGCTCCCAGATGCAAAAGATGGTCCTGTACGACCTGTCATACGGACATTTTATGACCATGTACAAGTAAGTGCTCCTTAATCGCCAGCTGTTGGTATTTTAGTGTTTGGGGCCTCCATCTTCTAGCAGCATTATCTCCACAATGACATAGTCTTATTAATGGCTCAGCAGTTGCCTCTTATTTTACATTATTATGAACAAAGGAAACACTATAAGGGAGCTGATGTATGTTGAAGTTGAATGTCAGAAATGAATCTTACCTTTTTTCATTCATTTCTTAAATGACTTGCTGCAAAAGCGAAGGCATCTTCTTGTTCTTTGATCCTGTATAATGTTTTTTAGCATAAATTCTACATGTTTATCATCTGAGTGGGTTTTGTAATTGTTTTCGTATCTGAATATGCCACTTGTCTCCCAAAAGGTGGTTAATAAGACATGCAAAGGATTTGCTGCTGCTGTTTCTAATGCCTTGCTAATGCAAATGCAGCCAATAAATGATTTGGATTTTCATCCACAAAACACAATTCTGATATCTGGGGCCAAAGATCACACAGTAAAGTATGACCTCCTCTAATATTCTAAAAACCTGAGTTTTCATCACTATTTTGAAAGCTTTTTGACGTTATAAATTGAAGAAATATAAAGCCATTCAATATTACCACCTTCAGCTTGCTGAAATGGAATGATCTACTGGTTTTTCATAATGTTCATTCGATACAGGTTCTTTGATTTTTCCAAGGCTACTGCAAAGAGAGGATTCAGAGTTATTCAGGTTTAGTTTATTATTTAGTTTTCAATGTGGTTAATAAACTTTGAAGTAGAATTTATCACTCGAGTATTAATGCCATAGTGATTATAAATGCTGCACTTAAAATGGCACAGGATACTCATAACGTGCGTTCTGTATCATTTCATCCCTCTGGAGATTTCCTTCTTGCAGGTGATTCTTTTTCATCTGTGAATAATCAGAACTCAATAGAATTCTGTTTCTTGAGTTGCATTTATTCTTTTCTCTCCTTTTGCACAATTGTGGAGCTTACTTATGCGGCCTGTACTTTTGGTCATACGTAATCCATCAGGTTATGTTTCATCAAATTCATTGAGATAATGATGGAATTAAACATTTTTTGTGATATTTTCTGCTTAGCAGTCATTTAATTGGTTCTATTTTTGAAGTAAATCAAATTAATATAATCTCCCAAAATGGAATTGATGATGGAGATGAAATATGTAAGATGTTTTCTGCTGTTTTCTATTCCAGTTTTATATTCTATTATTTTATTCTTTTTATTGCTTTTCAAACTAGAGAAGATTTTTTGGAAGCAATTATTCGTTTGATCCATAATCATTAACGTTTTACTAGCTAATTTTGTTTTACTTTTTTCCTATTGCACGTATATTCTGACAATCAAAGGGAATGGATTTTGATACACAAGCTTGTTGAGTCTATATATGGGCCTCAATTAGTGGCATAAATTATCAAAATATGACAAAACAGCATGATTATACGAAGATTGCTGAATTTCAATTTTCTATTGTCTTAAGGCTCTAATGATGCATGAAATTCTTATGTTCTAATATAAACTATGGTTCACCTTATTGTAAGTTTATGTTGAAATTCAATGAGGTAATATCAGATGTCTCAAAAACTTAGTTTACGGCCAAATAATATCTTGAAATGTGTAGCACTCTACAGTTTTTCCTAGCCTCCCATACGAAGTGATTCTTTGTGTTAAAAATTAATTCTGTTAAACACTACATATAATGTTTCATCTCTTTTTGCAACATCTTCATTCATAATTTTTATTTTGGAGGGCTGATAAAGTCAAACATGAAACTTGCAGGAACTGATCATCCCATTCCCCACTTGTATGATGTGAATACTTTTAAATGTTATCTATCTGCGAATGTCCCAGAAATTGTTGGTAACGGAGCCATAAATCAAGTATGCAAACAACTAATTTGTTGAATTCAGGAAATCCACTATTACATATGATAAAATTCAGTTTGTTGGGCATATAGGTGAGGTATTCATCTACAGGTGGCATGTATGTTACAGCATCTAAAGATGGTGCTATTCGGTTATGGGATGGTGTCAGTGCCAAATGCATTCGCTCTATAGTTGGTGCACATGGAACAGCAGAGGCTATTAGTGCAAATTTTACAAAGGATCAAAGGTATGAATCACTGGATATACATACATGCATGAATGTCCGTAGATGGGTGGGGTAAGTGCTCTATAGTTCTGCATATAGAACAGCAGAGGCTATTAATGAAAATTTTACAAATGAATGGAGGTATGAATAGCAGAATATAAATGCATGAATGAATGAGCATATATGTGTTTGTTTGTCGAGAACTTGCCATCTTCATGTGTGCCTCTGCTGATCCAGATACATGATTGCAGCTTATCCCGAGACTCGAGAAATCAAGTTTAAGAAACATGTTTAATGATTCTTCTAGTGATCCTCGCATAGACATCTAGGTAAATGCTTTTAAGTAGAGCAAGAAAAGTGTATATTTTCTGAACTTAATGTAATTCATTAAGTCACGAGTTATTATTCCATCTTTATCTTTGGTACCCCTTCCCCTCCCTTTTACTTCTGATGTTGGAAACATCAAGGTTAAATTGCTAACTTAGGGATTTAGGAATAAAACCTAGATGGTACACCTAGTATATCTTAGACAAACATCTAGATTTCTAAGGCATCACATTTTAAGAGTTTGATTGCATCATTCCATCAAATAATTGAAAAAATCCTCAAAGAACTCTTTATTAACATATCTCAAAAATAAGATTACAGAATTATTCACAATGCGTCTTAAATAACAAATTTTAAATGAAATTAAATTAAGAAATGTTAATACTAATAAGAATAAGAAAATTAAATGGTAAAAGGAATGAAATCTTAAAATTACTAAAATTCTAATAATAGACTCCAAAATGGTACAATAATTTTATAGTCAAGAAACATTTACTTTCTAGTCTTTTTAGAAAATCTTAACCTAATCCCTTTTGCATCATTTTTTCGTGATTAAAAAAACTAGTCCCACCAATTTTATTTTAGAAAATAAATTAGGAATAACATCAACAGGAGATTAAGAGGGCATCATGCAGGTCCAAAAACTACACAGAAAATAAAATAAAATTTCGACGAGGTTCTCTAAATCCTCTTCAAAAAGTAAAGGCCGACTACTAAACAAAATACTTAAAATCTGGAACCACTGATATCTAGTGCTAGCAAAAGAAGATATAACATCATCAAAAACCCTCTTATTCCTTTCGTTTCAAATGGCCCACATGATAGCCACTAGAAAAAGGAAGACGGTCTTCCTTCTGGATTCTTGTGCATCCCAGTGCCATCTCAAGTCAATAATTCATCTGCAATAGAATCACTTACCACCAGGGACGTTCTAAGGAAGGACAAAGATAAATCCGATGACCTTCTAACCTCCAAACACCGAAGGGGAAGATGATTGAGGAATTCACCTGTTGCAAACACATTAGCCCGACATTAACAATGAGTCTATGCCACTTCCTTAAGTTATCCAAAGTAAAATACTGCCCCAAGCGGCCTCCCAGGCAAATAACGCTTAGAGGGATGTTTCTCTTTCAAATGTGCTTCCAGAGGAATTTTTCACTTACCTCATTCTGAGAGAGAAGGTTTTTGGTAAAAGGATCTCTCAGAGATCTCTTAGAGAACACCCTCATTCTTAGTGAGGTCATACAGGATGATTACAATCTCCAGGATCAAAAAGGCATGTCTCAAGGAAAACTAAAAGGGAAGACATGTTGTCAATCTCCTAGTCATTGAGATTCCACACAAGCTGAGCGTTCCAAAATGGAGGTAAGGATCCATTTCTGGTTGCAACAACATTAATTATAGCTTATTCCTAGCAATAGTGAAGATACTAAATCTCGCCTTGAGAGGTCTCTCCATGCACCACGAGTCTAAAGCTTAAGGCTTGACTGTTACCAAGTCTACACGAGAAGAAGTCGAATGTAATTTTAGGAAATCTTGACCTAATTCATGCTGCATCAACTTCTGTATCTTGAGGGTTTATTGTCTCCTAGCATCTAGCCACAGGCAGCCAATGTTATTGCGAAAATATAATATTTTTCTGGTTGTGGGTAAAAAATGACACAACAGAGTTTTGGTTTGCAAGTAATGAAATTATGACTGTAACACGCTGATTCTTCATAAGATAATTAGATGTTAGCGGTGAACGGCACATCACTGCCTCACATGTGAACTTGAGCACTGTCTGTCTTGGCTTTTGAACTGGTTTTCCCAATTGGTTAGTACTTCCACCTTTCTTGGCAATATATCTGAATTATGATTTTCTAGGTTTGTTCTCTCATGCGGGAAGGATTCCACCGTGAAGCTCTGGGAAATTGGCACTGGAAGATTGGTCAAACAGTATCTTGGAGCAACACATTCACAATTACAGTGTCAGGTGTGGTAAATGGCTGTATGCACGTTTTTCTTCTCGATAGAATTCATGCCTAGGACATCTTTTTACCTTTTTTTTATTATCCTTTTTGAGACAAAATTCTATCCCCCCATCTTGGTGAGTCTTACCAACACTGCCCTCTGGAAAACAACTTTGGTCTTTTGTCATATGTTGTTTGCCATGCATGTCACTGGATAATTGTGTTCCTTTGGTTGAGGAAGTAAGCTTTAATTATCTAAATGCTGAAGCGCTAGAAGAAGATTTTATCATTTTACTTGAAGCTTTGTTTCAATAAAAAAAAAAATTTACTTGAAGTTGCAATCACAGGTCATGGGTGAAAAGATGAATATGTGGGTAAAAAGTTCTTTTTTTTGGCTTTGGTACTCTCCTTGTACCGATTAGGGATCAGTACACAAGTTGGGGGAACTAAAAAGCCAGTAATAATGGTTATGAAATATCAATATGCCAGCATGATAGCTGTTCATAAACATTTGGAAAAATGCTGCTGTCCTGGATCTTGAAATCACGTCCTAAAGCCTTCATTTTAATTTTTCAGTCGGAACTCCACATTTGAATTTATGGAATGTAAATTTTAATGCTTCAGTCTGTTCCCTGCAGGCTGTTTTTAATGATACTGAAGAATTCATTCTATCCATAGATGAGGCAAACAATGAGGTTTGTTCAACCTCTATACCTTTTTCAAGCACAGAAATATGAATTTTGTACCTTGGGGTTTTACTGATATACCTGAGTCGGAATGATGCAGATTGTGATCTGGGATGCTTTGACAGCTGAAAAGGTAGCAAAATTGCCTTCCAATCACGTTGGTGCACCTCGCTGGATTGAACATTCTCCAGTAGAGGCTTCCTTCATTTCCTGTGGGACTGACAGGTCTGTTAGGTTCTGGAAGGAGATTCTTTAGCTTCAGGAAATCCAGGATAAAAAAGTATTATTTTCTCCACACCTCCCTTTGAGGAGTTCTTTAATGTCAGATCTGTTTGGTTGCAAAATTAGAAGGTTGTGTATTCAAATTTAAGTGTTAAAGAGTACTTTGAATCAATAATTATGAATTTTGTAATGAGTTAAATTATTTTGTTCATCTCTCTCCAGTGAAGAAGCATGTAGGAAAAAGCTTTTTGTGTTTGTTCAAGAGTTGGAGACCTTAAAGAGTTCAGTGGTAATTGGTGTTGCCAAACTTCTTACATCCAAAACTGCAAAATCTGATTCCATGACTACCCAGAATTACCACATCCAATTGCAGAATAATACAATTCCTTCCCCAGCAACCTAAAGGGGGTAAAGAAAAGAATATCGAGCACCAGGAAATTTCACCGATAAAATGGGAAGAAACTTCCAATTCTTCTCTGCATCCAGCATGTATGAGGGAGTGTGATAATTGTCTGCATCAAATTAACTCTCTTGATCTCTAAGTTCACAACAATGTCCACTTGCCAATGTTTTTCAGAGTGACTCAGAAAATAAGTTTTACACAAAAGTAATTTCAGTGTGATACACACACACACACACACACACACACACACACTTATATAAGAATCTCTGACCAAGTATACACAGAAGAAACCTAGTGATGTTAGATTTTACTAAATGGACTAATTTTGTTGGCAATTCTTGCAATTATAGTTCAGTTTTCCGTTATGTATTAATGTGATACTAATCATCTATTTAAATTTTAAGATACAAAAATAGAAGTTAATTTTAAATTAATTTACAGACTGTACACCCTGTAATTTTTAAATATAAATAAATTTGATAATATGTAATAATTCTTTATTTAAAATTTCTAAATATAAAAATAAAATTTAATTTTTAATTATTTACAATCTATATATTATATAATGAATTTTTAAAATTAAAACTCAAATATAACATGAAATAGACATCTAAATGTATATGTATATATATAACTTACGTACATAGACATACTGTTTAGATAGAGACTTTTTTCACTTCCTTAAATGTTTATATAAGTTATATTACTTATTTTAATGAGCTAAATAATATATTTTTTATTTTTTATAATCTATATAATAATTTTATGAAAGATTTTTAATCACAAAAGAAATATCAGAATGCAACTATATATCTTTTTACCTGCAATCAAAGTATGATGGATTTATAATATCATTGATAACTTTGTAGATTTTGAACAAAAGAATTTTCATAAGTAGGATCTTTTTTAGAAAACCTGTTAAAGATGAGAGTAGCAAAAACTACTGCAGTGAGAAACCGATGCTTATATATGTACAAGTAAATGAACATCATGCAGCATTATTTCCTTTAAACCCTAATAATTCTACACATATACATATACATATATACATCACTTCACTATCCTTTTAATGAGAATCCGTATTTTTTTATTCGAGTTTTTCTGTCGATCGAACACGATTTTAGTAGATTTGTGAAGCTTAGGTTTGAGATTAATCTTTTTCAAACAAATTTTAGAGACATTAGTAACCCGTTGTTTAGTTATAGAGAGTTATAAATATATACACACGCACACACACAACAGGTTTGAATAAAATTGAGCATCATGTTAGAACTAATACCGCGTGGTGAAAAATTTATATGTCACTTTTTTCAAATCAAATGTCTTAATTCAGAAAACATAGAAATAAAAATCTATCATATTTAATGCCTCATATTGTACTGCTCGGCCTAATTGCTTAAGATGTTAAGCAATGTCGTCATATGAATATATACCTACATATATAGGGAGTAGCGTATGTAGTTTGGTCAAAAAATTGAGAAAGTTAAGTAGAATTATATGGTAATTTACGTGACCCAAAGACAAACATGAATTTTTCAACTTGTTAGATAGATTGTACTTAATTACTTATAATAAACATAAGATTTATATAAACCATTGTTTTAATAATTGTGCAAATCAAATTGTTGAGCTAAAAAATGATGGGAGTGTCTGAAAGTGAGAAAACCCTAGTAGCTAGGACAGTACCCTGATATCTTTACTAAATTTGAAGGCTACCCTAAGCAAATCAGACTCCTTTCTTTCCCTTTCTAACTTTTTATTTATTTATTTATTTTTTTTTTTAAAAAAAAAGAAGAAGAATATCCAGAGATAAATTAAGGAATTAATTTGCATAAAAATTCAAATAAATTATGATATCTGAAAATATTTTATAAAATTAATTTAAATAACTATTTAGAGAGAGAGAGAGAGAGAATTAAGTCTTAGTAACTCCAAAATCTTATACTTTTACAGAATTTCAAATACTTTAAGTAGATGAAAAATTATTGTTTAAATAAATTTAACAAATGAATTAATGTCATAATTTTTAATGAGATTTTTTAATTTTTAGGAGATGGACAAATTATATGATCCCACGGGTCGGGTCGGTCTTCACCGTTTTAAAACCCGTGGCCCAAACCCATTTTCGGCAAAATTGGGTCCGATATTCTTTTGAAACCTGCCTTGTTAAGTTGGCGGAAGGAAGTCAAATTGTTTCTTTTTTGACTGTTAAATCTTTTCTTTCAAAGTATTGTTTAAGATGTAATGACTAATAATTAAAACGACAACTTGTTACTTTCTTATTGTTCCATAGGATCACTCTGGTTTAAATGTTAATTTTAAAATATATCGGGATAAAAAATCAATCCACATTTGCGTACAGGGTAAAAGAGATTATATACATATATAAGTATGT